GCACAACTTCAAAGGCTCTGGCAATGGAGGTCCTTTGTGAGGGAATTATCTCCTGCTCCTTTGTACCCCTTTATCCTTCTAAGCCACGGGACAAAGAACTGTGAAACGAATAGACAAAGTAATTTGTAGGAGATCTGTAAACCTAGATAAAGTACATAGCATTAGCTCAAAAACTTTTTTTTTTTTCTGCTTCTGTCATCAAAACATGGTTCTGTTTTTCTGTGCAGAAACACATAAGTTCATTTAACTTTTGAGGGACGCAGCCTTATGCTTAGACATGCTATTGATGAGAGTCACCAGGATGTCTGAAGTGGTAAAGAAGAGCTTTAGTTTATGTGGCCAGTTATAAATTATGTGGCTTTTAAGAGTTGGCTGAGAAGTATCTTTCTCCTCACCTAAGGATATTCCACTAATAAAGAAAGAAAATGCATTTTTTCAGCCCTGTGTGTATGCATGCACGTGCTTTAAGGAAACCACTTATTTTTCACCTTTTAGAAAAAAAAAAAACCAAAGTGGTTTATTCTTTGTTTCTTCCAGTGAAAAATGAAACCTCGGGGAGATAGGAAACACATTACATGGATCTGCTTTGTGTAGTCCAAAGGACAGCTCTTAATTAAAAATAAAAAAGCAAACCAGGGAGGGAAGGTCTTTGATTAATGTTAGCAACCTGTATAATGTGTTCCTCCAGTGTCTCCAGATCCTCTGTCTCAAAAAAACAACAAATGAGTGAAAGGAGAATAATCTTGGCCTCATCAAATTTAATGAAGAAACCCCCTTTAAGTGCAGTGAGTCACACTGGCCACTCCACTGTATTTGTATTCAAACTACAAAATGATTGCATTTAGCACTGGGTCTTGTCCTGAAGCAAATCCCATGAGTATCTCCTTATCCTCAGAGGGTGGAAGGACTGCGTCCACACTTGGTTTTTTTTTTAAATCTTAAACTGTTAGTAGTGGTTGCTCTGCATATCTCCATGCCCAAGTACAGACTCTCACTTGAGCTCCCTATCTAGAGAATCTTTTATGTCTGCTTCCTCTCCTTTTCTCATACTTCCATGGATTTCCCAAGGCAGTTGATGTTCTGACCTCTTGGATCCAGTTTTCATCAGCTGTCAAGATAAATTTGGTTAATACTCCAGGAATAGTTTATTCAGATTTAGACTGAAGAGGGAATAGTGATGGAAATGCAAGATCATTCCCCTGTCTCTCTAATCTGTCTGATATGTCTCTAGATGCACTAACTTTTCAATAGTTATACTTTCTTGAGTTTTTTTCCAGGCCAGGAAGAGAAACTTTTAAAATATTTCAGCAGAAGCACACATACACAGACATAGATGTATATATAAGGCTCATTTTATTTATATCTCTAAATAAAAATTAAATCCACTGGTGTTATAAAAATATGACAGTTGTTTCATATTCTGTTTGCATATGTGGGCAGCTAGAGGCAGGGATTTGATGAGTTTAACTGATGCTGAGCTTAATTTTCTCCAATATATGGGTTAAATTTGAATTCATTACATGCCATAAGCTGTCAAAGTATTCTATTGTTGTCAATATCTAGCCTGTGAATGCTTATCTCAAATTTTGGGTGACTAAGGAGAGTTATTTTATGTAAAAAATTTCTCATATAGAAAATTTTTCCTGGGTTTTAAAACTGGGAAGAATAATAATGATGGACTTCCCAGCAGGAGGCAAGCCAAGACATTTCTTCCAGGAATTCTTTAACCCCAGAAGTACAGCAATGACTTGAGAGTGTTTTCGTGTTTCACATTACCCACCTGGACTGGGTGCACTCAAGTGCCACCTTTTTCCTTAAACCTTCCTTTTCCACATATATCTCCCATCCTGAGGAGCTCCTTGCCACGGGTCACTGTTGGGAAGGTGGCTGTGTTGGGTGGGAAGGCTGCTGGTCTGATGCATAATTTTGGATTTTCCATCACTAAGGTAGAACATGACTTCAGATTGTTTGCAGTGTGCATAAGGAGCTGCTGGTTTGGATACAGCAGCATCACTGTGATGTAAAATAAAGAGTTGGATACAAAACCAATCCCAAAACCAATCCCAGTATGGGAATTCTGACTGGACAGAGAGGACAAGTAAAAGTCAGAGCTGGTTCATATAGAAATCCTGCAATCAGGTGTAGAAGATGCATTAACAGGGCAAGCTGATGGTGAGATGGGTGGTGATTTGCCCAGCTGTACATGGGATAATGCAAACAGGAAAATTTTAAGAGAAGTCTAAAGGTAAAGCTTTCCAAAGCGCTGCTCATGCCATTTCCTATAAGTTGTTGAAGCATCAGGCTCTGTTGATACATGTGGAATGGGTAATTATTGGGGGGTCAGCTTTCATTTTGGTTTTGATTTTTTTTTTTTTAATTTTTAATTTCTTTTCTCTTGATTGAACTGGGGTATTGAAAATATTGTAGTATGTGTAGAATTGTGGACCTAAAATGAAATAACTGTGATGTCCACATTGAAATTTGTGATGAGGATTTTAATTTATCCAGGGATTTGAAGTTTGGTGAGATTTTTTTTTTAATGGGAGCTGGTATTCCTTCCAGTTAAGAAAGGCGAAATGAAAAGAATAAGCCTTGAGAATGGAGCAGAGGATAAGGAGATTTGTGATATGGAAGTTCAGTCTCCGGTCTTGAAAAACGTCCTGGTCTTCATCTGTCACTTGAAGGGACTTGCAGGCTTTGCTGAGGAGCTTATTTTGTTGACAGTCCTACCTCTCTGTGGATGAGGAAGCAGAGCTGTTGCAATAGTTACTTTTCCCCCTGGCTTTAAAAGAGTTAAAATTGGGTTCTTTTGTACTGTCATAATGTCAAATATTGGCTGGATTCAGGGCGATTATTTACATTAAGAAATCTTTTGGCATTTAAGACTCTCGTTCAGGGAAGGTAGAGTGTTGTACCACTGACTCAGAAACATCTCTGATACTTTTGACTTTGGTTCCTCAGTGTCACTTGGCCACTGACAGAATGGGGACCTTTGTTTGCCTTGGCCACTGCATAAAAAAACAGGATATGATCAAATCCAGTTAATCATTCACAAATGTCTCATTTCTTGAATCTCTGAGGGTGTATAGCACATTTTTGGGACCGTTCTCTGCTGCTTTGGCTTTTGTTAGAAGTAAGCTAGTAAGGAGAAAATCAAATTTTGAGTTTTCTTAAAAGGAAGTGGAGGAATCCTGGAACACACTAGGGCTCTGCAAATGTATGTTTAATCATTTAAAGAAATGTCTTTTGGCTAAAAGCTCTTACCAGCGCTTGCAAGTTGCACTCAAAGCTGTACAGCTACATCATTCCAACAACTGATGTGAGTTAGCGCCCTTGTTGGCAGCGTGAGTAGAGAGATGCAGGCTTAGCAAATCGTGGGGGCTGAGTTACTCTCAAATTCATTGTGACTTTGTGCAGCGTGGGCGAAGTGTCCGGGGGGTGACTCTGCTGATGGTTACACCAGCTCCTTACACAGTGGCACGGATGGAGAGACTCAGGCACATCTTGCCTGCTTTGTTTCGTTACAGTGCAAAGCACTTGGCTCTGCTGTGGAGCAGGGCAGTTCCAAACGTCTCCTGCAAACAGTTTGACTGTGCTTAAGGCAAGCACACGCTCTCCAAGCAGCAGCAAACCAGAGGAGTGAGTGCTCACACGCAGCACATGGTGGAACTCCCTGCTGCAAGATGCCACAGGGCAAAACGTGCATGGAGGCAGAGCCTTGAGCAAATCCGTGGTGAATTGGCCTATTCAGAGCTGTCAGTGAGATGCACTGACCTGGGTGTAAATGGGGGTCACCCAGCCCTGCAGAGCTGGGAGCTAATGGGCACGATGGAGCAGGATTGTTCTGTCCTTTCTCAGTGTCAATCATGTGCACGTGTACATACCCTTAACACCGTGGGCTGCAGTTGGAGACAGGTTACTGGGCTATGTGGATTTTAATAAACCTGTTAGTGGGGCTTCTTGCTTTCTTACTTTTATATCTAGCCCATCCTGAAAACAATGTGGGACTGTAACAATAAGTTGCGAGCTTTGGAGGGATTACACTGCCTTATTGAGTCTGTACCCAAAGTCCTTTGAGGGCTCCCATTGACTCCAGTGGGATTTGGTTCAGACCTCAAGTATGTAGAACTCTCTTAAGTAAACTCTTTCAAGGCCTGTACATGCTGCAGTACTTATTGGGCTCTTTGTTACTTCTGTGAATAGGAATGTGACCTTTACACTTCTAACAAAGAGCCCTGAATTACAGGACTAAATCTTCATGTTTTGGGAGGGATAAGGTTACCATCCCAGCTCCTCCCAACCCTGCTGAGCAGGTGGCTCAATGGTTGATGAGGGAGTTCCCCAGTCACTGGGGGACTGCTTAGACAAGCACTGAATGTGTAATACAGCAGCTTCAGAGCTTCTTCATGAGTGGATGCCCATGAACAGTGGTGGTCAGGGTAGACATCTGGGTTTATACATTGTTCCATTTCAGGAGTCAAAGCCCTGGTCATATCCTTTTGCCACCGCAGGGTCACTCTGATATCCACATTAGAAGTCTATTTAGTCCATGTACATACTAAAAATGGCCACTGTGGAAGACAAGGCTAGTCAGCCATCTAGGTTTTCTATTGTCTACTCAGTCTCTTGGCCACATGAAGGGAGGGAGGGATGAGTAAAATGGAAGAAGGAAGTGTCGGGCTGTACATTCCCCCTTCCTCTGGCCATTGCCAAAGGCTGCAGTGGGGCTGCGTGGCAAATAGCTGAGTCTGAATGACAACAAATTACATGTCGTGCCTTTCTTGCTTTTGAAGCTGGTCTGGCTTCTGGTACCCTTGCCTCCCAAACCTGCTGTTCCAACAGGAGAAACTCAAGTGAGTGAGAGGAGCAGTTTAATTGACAGTGCTATTTTCTACCTGTATTTTAGGTCACTTCCTGGGTAACAACACTGTGATTGATGTACTGAGACAAGCAGGATTTGAAGTGGAGCACACTCCTCCTGGACAACCAATTGGAAAGTAAGCAGCTGCCCACAGATTATTAATCACTTTCTCTCCTTTTTTCTCTCCCTTCTTCTGTGACTAAGCAATATTACTGCATTAGTATAGGAAGTGGGTGAGGAACCTCCCTTTCCCACCCAAGTTCCAGACAAAAAGTTCATTGTAAAGCATCCATTGTGTGAGTTTGGAAACATATGGAGCCTCAGTGGCTGGGGTTTTTTGTTGGGTTTGTTTTTCACTTGGGGACACTATTTATATCACAGCTGCTTCGTTATACCAGCTCAGAAGTGCCACAGTTTCTTTCCAGAAACATCTCATTCAGCTCATTTTCCTCCATAGCTGTTTTTCATTTTTCTCTCTGTGGGGTTTTAGCTGCTTCTCCGTTGCAGACCTCTCTGTCAGTCTGCTGTTCTTCAGCTGGAATTTCAGTTTTTCCTGAAGGACCAGATTTAATGTAGCAGATGCACCTTGGAAAGTGTATTGGGTAGGTAGAGAGCAATTCAATATTCCCTGAGCTTCTCCATCTATCTGGTCAAATAAAGGAGGCAGGAAGGGACTGATCACCAGGCTCTTGGAAATGTTCGTTATCATAAGAAAAAATACGGCATGAAATTGTCCTTAGTTAGTGAAACAAACTTCCTTCATCCCATAGAATTTTCCCTTTCCTTTAGATGAGGTCTCTTTCAAAGGAATCATAGACAGTAAACCCATGAGGGATGGTGAGAGACCATCTAGCTTTTCCCTAGAAAATTAGCCTTTCCCCTGCATTCTGCAGATAAAATTTGGCCAGGATTACTCTGTCATAGGATTGTTATCCTCATTAGGAGAAAGTGTTAGCAGCATGCTCCTGTCCCTGGTGGGCAGACATGACATGGTCCAAATATGAGGTGAGTGTCAATATGGAGGATTAATCGCAGAGGTAGCAGGCCATGTCTGAAAAAACTATGTGTAATATAGTTGGAAAATCTGGCTGATCTAACCTTGTTTGTGAAACATCCGCAGTGATTCATATAGAATATCATATGGCTCAACTGTACATAAGTGTCTTTGACAGAGCATTTATCCTAAATGCTTCTCGAGGTCTGTTGAGCAATAAAAGCATCGTCTTAAATAACAAGGGGGGAAAGAGGAAGAAAAAGCTATCAAACACTGGGAAGAGGATATATTCAGAGGAGGTTTAAGAAGCACTTTGGCAGAGGGAGAGAAATCAACGTGGCACACGGAAGAGCAGTAAACACTGTAACAGGCTGGAGCTGGAAATTTTGACTAAAATTAACAACAAAAAAATACAGCAAAACAGAAAACCCAAGCAAATTGTAGCAGAACAGCTGAGGTGTACTGTTCCTAGGTTTCTGACAAGGAAACTTTCCACTCAGGGAAACGGACACTTTCTTCAGCAATTTTCATTTAGCTGAAAGTATCATCTTCCATGAAAAGTGTTTCAGCTGGAAATTGTGAAACTTATAATTTATTGGCTGTTGCAAGCCCTTGAGAAGAACAAAAGATACAGTAGTGTGAGAGAAGTCCAAGAACAGTTGCTGCTCTTTATGGTCTTGGGATATGTCTTTACACATCATCACAGACTGGAAATAAAGGATGGGGCAGGAAACTTGAATCAAAGCCAGCGCTTAATGTTGACTTTTTTTGCAGAGTGGGGCACTTCTGTGTGTGCATTCCTCCACCTTGGCAGCAGTGTCTCCTGTTCACGATGTCTTCGCTAAAGTTGTGTTCTCTGGGGAAAATGTTCCTGAAAGAAAGTGGACTGGGACTGCTGCCTAGATCAATGCACATGTTCATCAGCTGAACTGTCCCACACTTGGTGACTTCTGTTCCCAGCTCCAGACCATGGTGTGGGGCAGGTTGGCCCCTTTGTATGGACTAGTATCCCAATTCAAGTGAGGTCTGCTCTGAACACTGAACATACAAAACTTTATTAAAGGGTACAGTGTTGCACAGGAATACTGGATTGAGTCGAGGGAGAGCACATGGTTGCCCCCCATAAAGATTAAATGCTCCTGTGGTCTGATGATGAGGCAGATGTGCCAGTTCTAGATGAAAATACAGGAAGAAAGAAAATTATGTGGTAAAGAAGTCCAGAGTTGCCACTAGACTGCATTACTCGAGGTGCAGAAACAGCAGAAGACTATAGAAATTGTGGATGAAGAGGAATTAAATATATTCACAGGGAACAGCTTGCAGCCTTTAGAAAAAAAGAGGCTCTCAGACATGCACATCAGGGGATGTCGTTGTCCTACAGCTGGGGCTGTAGCCATCAGAAGAGCCTGGGACTCCCCCTTAGAAACGAGGAGGCTGCTGCAAAGCATTTGTCTGGTTTTTTTTAAGAATAGCTTGTATTTTATGATTTCTGGGCAAGATGCAAGACAGTCTAGCCAAACACAGTTATGACAAAAGGCAACAGCATGTTCAGAAAGCGCAGCAAGTTGGTTGTTGTGTTGTCGGGGTCATGTTGCTCTAATTGAGACTCTTAAGGAACCTTGAATTTTTGTCCAGCCTTCTATTTTCACTCTTCTGCTCTTTAAAAGATGAAATGAAAACATTTGAAGACAGTTAGAAAGGCCCAGAAGAGGAACCATTTTGTGATAGTGGCTATACTAACAAAATGTATACATAGAATAAATAAATAGAAACTCAACAAAACTTGGGCTGCTTGCAGAGTAGAGGCTGTTTTATGAGTTACAGAGATGCAGGTGTTTTCATCTTGATTCTTGTGAAGCCATACATGAACTAAGAGGTATTTCTCCCCTCTGCTGAAACCCAAAAGAGACATATCTGCTTTACTTCCAAATAAGTTGTATAAGGGAGTCAAGCCCACTGCGCTGCATTCTGGCATTGACAATTGAAAAATTGGATAGTATTCAGAGAAGATCAGCTGGACTCTAATGTAGAGATTGTTGGGGGTGGACAGCACATGGAAAAAATGCAAGGGTTGGAAAAAAACTGAAGCAGCTGCATGCTTATGTTTTGGCCAAGGGAATTCAAAAAAGGAGTGCTGTGGACAGATTGTATGCAGGAGAATGAAGAGGAACAATTTGAGCTGGCACATAGAAACATTTGGAGGTATTATCAGATTGAAATTGAGGGTGGTTTTGGATGAGTATCAGTGATTTCTTGACAGTGATTTGCAGGACAATCTTTCTTAGATCGAGTAAGAAGCCCCATTATGTGAAAGTAACATTAGCAAAACACATATTCTACATCCTGCTTCATACCCATGCTGCCTAGCCAAAAAAGCAAATACTACTTTTCTTTAATATCTCTGTTCCTAGAACAGTATTATTATTATCATTATTATTTTTATTGACATGATTAGTAGTCTTATCTTTATAATCAATAATAAGTAAGTCGTGTTACTATAAATAGGTGGAGTATATTCTGGTATGATTTAAATCCCATTTCAGTTTCAGAAAGGATAAAGAATACCTTTTTAGAAAATAACTAGTACTGTTCCTGTGTATGAAAAAAAAAGAGAATCCTTGGGAAGAGTGAAACAGGACAAAGACCAAAGCTGTTTGTGCTTTCAGTTACATACAGGCTGGGTAAAGCCAGAAGATTGTTGGCTTCCTCTATCCAAAAAGCTAAGCATGGGTTGGGAAATAGCTGCTCTCTAAGCCAACCAAACCAAATACCTAGAGTCTCACATTTCTGTTGTCTGGTGACAAGCATGAATTTGAGCCAAATTCTCCTTTTCTTAAGGTATCAGGGAAAAATAAAGTGAGATCTTGTCAGGCTAGAAGAGATAGCCAAGACGTGGAGGGGTTTGATGGCTCCAGAATCAGTGAACTGGCAAAGGAATGTTCCTATAAAGTACATTTATCTGGTGTGGAGCTATTTCAGAACTCTCACTGACTGGATTTCTGAAATCTCCTGGCTCCTCCTGTTGATCTGCCTTAGTGGCCCAGTGTTGACCTTCCTGAGCGTCCTCTAGAATCCCTCCAGGTGACTGTTGAAAACACCTTCTTTAAAGCTTGATCCCTTTCTGTAGAAAACACCCTGTTGCACTCATCATGCAGAGAAATGCCATAAACACTTGAGAACTTATCGTCATGTTGGCTTCATTTGTTTATTTTGTTGCCTGAGGGAAAGCGTCCCAAATCTGTTTGCACGACAACCCTCAACAGCATTCATATTTGCTTCTTATTTTGCTGGCTGTCCTCCTTGTCCCCAAACAAAGGCATTGGAAAATTAGTGTATCTCATTGCTTTGCCCTGAGATAAGAAAGTCAACTTTTTTTTTTGCTTCTTTTTTTTCTTGGTGGAGTTCTGCCAACTGGCTGTCCCTGCTCCTCTCTGTCTTCAGAAAGCAGAGCTGCGTGCTTGGGGTTGGGAGAGAGGAGGAGATGGGAGAAAATCTCCCCTCAGATGGATTCCAGTGACTGGAGCAGATAAAGGGCCACAGCTGCTTCAAATTTAATTGGAAACAGCAAAACTGCAAGATCAATCCAGGAAGCACCTGTGTCCGTGATGACTCTATTGTTGCTGGGTTCTCAGAACCGGCTCTGACCTTCTGCCACTCACCAAGCCCTGATGTGCTTCACACTGTTCTCTGGGCCAGGAAAACATGCAGCAGTGCTCATTTCCACCAGACTGCTCTTTCCGAGGTTGTGCTCAATGCTACCTTCTTTCAGAACGGGAAAATTCAGTACAAGCTTTTGTATCTGCCCTTTTGAGAGTTTATTGTACGCTCGCAGAGCTCTGCTGGAGAAATCAATTACTCTTGCTCCTTATGTTTGAACTTCCTGGCCCAGTTGAAGCAACGTGTCTTTGCTGTTGTAACTTACTCCTTTCCTTCTTTCTGAAGCAAAGAGCTTCCTCCTTCACCTTCTCCTGTAGCATCCTACAGTTGTGGCCTCCTACTCAAGGTTATCTCAGTGTGGAAGTCTTTTCTCCCCTAGGAATGCTCTGTTCTTTCCCATGGGATAAAAGCACTCACTCCACACAGTGATGCAGCAAGGATTCCTAAGCTTTCTGAGGTGATATAAAGAAATGGGAAGATGTTTG